AAATATATATATGTATATGTATATACATATATACACATATATATACATACAAAAAATATATATGTATATGTATGTATATATATACACACACACACACATATACATATATACATACATATATACATACATATACATATACATATATATACATACATATACATATATATATTTTTTAGATGAGGCAACCCTTGGTTGACCTCACAGATTGCAAGGAACTTGTCAGCTTACAATCCTTTATTTTTTATTTTTTATGCCTACAGCACTTGATCTTCCTAGGTGGTCTCCCTAAATTTTTTTTATTGCCTTGAGTTTAGATGTTATCTGTACTATCTGTACCATTTGTACTTTACAGAGATTTTCTTTTTGATCTAATATAGAGTCAGTTTTTGTGAATTATTTATGGATACTTAAAAGAAAGTGTATTCTCTTTTTAGAATGCCAAGTTTTATCTAATTATTAATCATGCAATTTAGATCTTCTATGTCTTTAAGACACCTATTATAGCAATCCCCGCTTATCCACAGTTTCACTTCCCACAGTTTCTTACCCCTGTCCTCCGGGGAGCTGAATGCTGAATCAATTACCAGTAGCCAGTGATTTAATCAGTCATGACTACGTAATGAAGCCTCCGTAAAACCCCACAAGGACAGGATTTGAAGAGCTTCCTGGTTGGTGAACACGTGGAGGTACTAGGAGAGTGGCATGCTTAGAAAGGGCACGGAAGCGCCACATCCTTTCCTACATACTTGTGATGTGTCCCTTCGTCTGGGAATACTTACTTACTTTCTGGCCCAGTAACATCTACCAGGTTCATCTTGTACTTTTCCTGTCCCAGCTTTAGATTAAGTAATTTCTTCAAGGAACCCTAGTTCCTTTTCCTGGAGAATGGTATTTAGAAACCAAGATTTGGGTGCTAGATATTCTCTTTGCTATCAGGTATAGCAAAGAGAATATGTTCCTAAGCTCTTTCAGTAGACAGAGTGTATGTGAACACATACAGATATTTATGCCTATATTTATTTGTATGTCTATCTATATTGAAAACCATAAGTTTACACTGATCTCTTCAGTTTTATGCAACACCACTCGGGCTTCGTTCTGTTTTTTTCTCTTTCCATATTTGTATCTCCCTTTTCCAACAATGAGAAACCTCTATCCCATCACTCTTCATATATTCACTTATTTTATCAATCCCCCTGTATGTACCGATCTCCTATCTCTATTGTTGCCTCCTCATCTAAACAAATGTCCTCCCCAGTTTACCCAGGTGCCTACACCCCACACTGGCCCTTCCCTGTGGTTATCCTCTTCATCATACTCAGTCTCCCTCACCTTACACCCACCCATATGGATGCCTCCTCACCCTTCAATGGCTTTGACACCCCCTATTACTACCACTGCCCTGTGAGGATGCCCCTCTCATCCCACTCAGGTTCTCACACCTCAGTTGCCCCACTCCAACTCCCACATTGGCCTTCTCCTTTCCCTTAGTGTGGAATGCCTCCACACTGGATGCTCTCTACAATTTTATGGCAGACTGTTCAATCACAAATTTTACTTGCTCCTCAGCAATATATTTCTGGTGAATGTTCTTTGTCTGCATTTCTTTTCCTCTTTCTTTCTTTCTTTTCTTTTTTTTTTTCTGTATCACGTTTGTACCGTTCCTGTTCTGGTCTTTTATTGATAACTAATTTCTAAATGAGGTAAATTATTCCTGAACCAGCTATTTGCAGACATAACACGAAGGGAAGAGGACAGAACTGAGTTGGAGGCTAACAGGAATCTCCCCCATAACCCAGGATGTCTATAAAGAGCTCTCTTAGCTCCTACTTCTCCCGGACATAAAGGTAGGCAGCTATCGGGCTGTTTATGACACAATCTACCTGCTCCTCTCCATTGCCTCCTGCAAGTAGGGCTTGTCAATGGGATTTCTTATTCAACCCTATCTTCCCTGATCCTCAGAACCAAATCAATTCTGGAAGCTTACACCACTCAACTTTTTCCCTAGGATATTTAGCCACAAGAATTTTCGCTACATTTCTTTTTGCATACTTACATTTCCAAAAATGTGAAACACTAGAAGACCTATGTACACCCCTGGGTTGAGTCCTATTGTTCACCGTAGCCCTGCCACACTACTGACTTTTAATGATGGTCTTCACCCCTCTAGGATTCCGTGTGTGGTTCCTTCAGCCTGGCACATACTCTCTCCCCCTTGTCTCACTGCTGTGACTACCCAAAACTTTCAAGTACAGTTTATACATCCCTTCCCTCGCTTCTAAGCTGGACAGGGTTCCCTTGTTACACAGTTTCATGGTATCCTTACCTTTTTTTTATAGCTCTTATCATAATTATGGTTGTCATTAAATCACTTATTCAATGGCTTCCTCTCCCTGAAATAGGGATTGTATCTGTTTTGTTCATTGCATCCCCAACACCTTGTACCTGGCATGTCATAGATACTTATTATGTATTTGCTAAATGAATGGATGAATGATCCCAACCTAACATGTCTCCTCATACCTTTATACCAAAACTCTTTTCCATGATCACCAATGACCTCCTTGTTGCTAAATCCACTAGATACTTTTTGATTTCCATCAGTACTCAATAGTTGGCTGCCTTTTTTCTTAAAACACTGCCTTTTCATGTTATGCCTTCACTTATTCTCCTCATCTTTTGCAGGTTTCTCTTCCTTTTCCTGGTCCTTTTAATGTTGGATGCTCAGAGCTTAGACCTGAGGCGTCTCCTTTTTCATTCTACACTCTCTCCTTAGATCATTTCATTCTCTCTTGTTGCTTTAAATACAGTTTATATACCAATGATTTCCAAATTTAGTCTAGACTTTTCAAGCTTAGACTTTGCCAGACCCTTATATCAAACACACCCTTATATCACTTGGTCATTTTGCTTACCTCATTGGAATCTAGAAGGTGGCATATCCAAAATTACTTGCCTGACCTTTCCTCCTAATCTACTTCTGTTCCCTCAGTGCTGCTCATATCAGATAATAGCATTTCATCGATCCAGCTAATCACATCAGAAATTGGGGAGTTAACATTTCCACTATCTTCTCCATTCCTATAAGCCAATCCAATCACTTATCAAGTCCCTTGGTATTTATCTTGGGATTTATCTCGGGATTTATCTCTGAAATAAATCTTGAATCTATCCACTTTACTCCGTCTCCACTTTCACCACTCATCCCTGTGCAAGTCACCATCCTCAGCTGGCACGTAGCAGTATCCTTTAACTGCTCCATTTGCTTTCATTCTTCTGAGCCATCAGCACTGCTACTGCTACCACCAGGTGCCTCTCTCCCCTGGATAGATTTAGACTGAAATTGCTGTTCTCTGACTCCCTTTTTCTAACCCTTCTTAACACTTTCTTGAGATTTGTTAATGACATACATGTTATTTGTCCCTTAGAGGAGTCCATTAATCTCATCTGTTGCATATGGATTTTACTCTTTTAACTCTCACTGTTAACCTTATTTTCAAGATCTGCAAAAAATTTCATGGTTGTTTTGTTTGTTTGTTTGTTTTTGTTTATTTATTTCTTTTGTTGTAAATATCCAGGTTTGAGTAACCGAATAGTTAATGACTAAATGGAGAAATCTAGAAAACAAGATTTTACAACTGGAGTATAGCCTTCCTGGCTGGAAACCGGCCCCTCCCTTCGGGGCGTACTATCTTATCTCTTTACCTCCAAAGTTCCACAGGGCTTCAGCCTTCCCTAGTGTGGCCCATCTCTTTATGGAATGTATTTTCAATAATTCTTACTTTTTCTCAAAAAAAAAAAAAAAAAAAGATTTTGCAACTGTTCTGACATTCGGAACACCAAGGCCTTGTGTCACACTGACTTTTCTTGTTAGTACAGACCTGAAGTAACCCAGTATCTGTGATAAGATGTTTCCTGGGCTAAAATCTCCCTTCTTCTAGATATGTGACCCCAGAAAAGTATGCATCCTGTGAATTAATTTCTAAATTTTAAATAAGTTTTCACAGCAGAAATTTAGCAACAATTTATTGAAGTTGTAGTCAGTGGAGAGAGTCCGTCAAAGTGCTGTGCTGTTTGGGAATGTCAGGCAGGAACCCAGAGAAGCTTTGCCAAGCAGGCCACCCGCAAAGGCAAAGCCAGCATTTTATCCCTTATTCAGTAAAATGCCTAGAAAAATCTGTTCCTCACCACTGTGAATGCTGGTCTCTGTTAGGAGAGTATGTAGAAATGTCACAAGTTAAATATTATAATAACAACTTACTTTTTTATTAAAAAAAAAAATTCAGTTTCTTAAGAATCCTATTAACTCACCCTTTTAGTGAGGGGCCTGGAGGGAGGGGCCTGTATGAATTTAGGCCTGTCCAGAGGGCAGCTCTCTCACCTTAGAGTAAAACTTCACTGTTACTGAGGGGAGAGACACTTGAAGGAAAAATTTGGGCAGAGGTCCTGCTTCTATCATAAGCAGCAGAGCCGATTAAGAGAAAAAGAGGTTCACAGATTACATTTCACAACTTCTTTATACTAATGCTCCACTAATTCATTCATTCACTACTACTTTGCTGGATGCTGGGGACACAGGGCCAACATGGACGCTGCATCAGCGTAGCGCCTGCTCCTCAAAGTGTAGACAGTGCTCCACTGGCATCTTCTGCATTCCCAATGCTAATAATACAGACACTCAGGCCTCTCCTCAAACCTAGATTTACCCTATTAGCATCTCAGTGCTGTCCTGAGAATCTGTCCCACATTGCTAATCCCTATTCTTTTGCAGCTAAAGTTCGAGAACACTGGTCTGGTGGTTGTTGCCTCTGCAAGCTGCTTTCAAGGCAGCGATGTTTGCTCGGCTGTGAGGCGGACAGAAACGCTGTGTGACAGATGAAGGAGGCGGACCTGCCTTGCCTACCCCTAGGGCTCGCGCCCGGGTGGGAGCGGGTCAGCCCCGCCCCGCCCCGCCCGGCTGTCAGGGAGGGGAAGCCCCGCCCCCGGGCGGGCGCGCGCCACCTAGCCCAAGCTGGGCCTCCAGTCTTTAACTCTGCTCCTTCGGAGGGGAAGCCACCAGACCACCACACGTCTTGCAGACTGCAGCTTCTTCCCGGGAACGAAGCGTGACATGGCGGCGGCCAAGCCCGAGAACCTCTCCCTGGTGGTACACGGACCCGGGGACCTGCGCCTGGTAAAACGGGAAGAGGGGTTGGGGAGCCTAGTGCCACCCCACTGGCCGCGGTGCCCCCTGGGCAGTTCCAGCCCAGCTCCAGACCCCGCACCTCGCGGAGTCTGGCCACTCACATCCTAGATGATTACCATGTTGGGGGCAGGGGGCGAATGTCTTTTGTCGTTTGGTGCCAAGGTGCTAAGGGCAGGGTTCTTGTCGCATGCCTCCCGGAACCTAGTCTAAGGCCGGCACGTGGCTGGCGCCCAGGAAGGTTTCAAGCGGAATGGTCGAAGCGTTCTCCCTGCTTTTCCAGCCGCTGATTTGTAGTCCAGTCTCTGTCATGGCACTTTTCAGAAGAGATACCAGGGAGGCTGCTTGATTTAGGACATGACCTGAACTTCTCTCCAAAGACAGTGCAGGGCAGAAAGAGGGGCCAGAGATTTAAAAGCTGTAAAACTCGTATTTAATTTCTCTTACTCGGGGCTGATAAAACCTCCCTTGCAGGATTATTATGATCAGGAGAGCACCCAGCACTTAATAGGTACTCAGAAAGTGCCCGCTCCTTCCTCCTTTCCTTCCAGCACATGCCACCATCACCAGGATTCCTGGCGTTCCCTGTGCCTGTGCCAGACTTCTGGATCTTAGGAGTCTCCATCTCTATAAAGCTTTCCTCCTTACCTCCCTTAGTCCACATCTGGTTCACTTTTCCAGCCTTTTTCCTTTCTGATCCTGCTCCCCTGCCCCTTTAAGAGCATTATGTATGTGTCTCCTTCACCCTAGACTTTGCCCCTCTCTGCTCCCTGGCTCCTGAGGCCAAGTTTAGTAAGCTGCTGTGTCAGTCCTGGAGTTGTGCCAGAGCTCCCTTAACAAAGTTCATGTCAGATGGTCCCGGGATGGCAGTGGGTGTGTGGGATGAGTGCCAGCTCTCTCTGCTGCTCCCTAGCACTTCCTTCTCTCTCGAAGAGAACATGCATCACCAGGATCTAGATTGCAGAGACTCCAATCCAGAGATGATCCAGATTAGCAGTTCTTGACTCATTGAGAATCTGTGGTCTCTCTCCACATGGAATGCAACAATTTCAAAGAGAGTGGACTTCCTTTAAGCCTCTCCATAGATTCTCTAGAGTCTGGACCCCAGACTAAAAAATCCTGCTTTTAGCCAACTCTCCATTTTCTCAGCTGAAGAAAGTTTTATTCCTAAGGTGTTAGGCTTAATTCGTTAACAGAGCCCAGACAAGAAATCAGAGGTTCTGACTCCCATTCCAGTGTTCTTGCTATCGGAGAGTGGGGATCCTCTCCTGGTGCGATATCCAGGTTCTTGATGTCTCGAACAAAGAATTGAGCAAGACCTGAAATACAGCAGAAAAAAGCTTTATTGGAAGGGAAAGTATACTTCCAGACATGGAAGGGGGCCTGAGCAAGAGAAGCATGGCTCAAAAGGTCTGGTAACAAAGCCTTTGGGGTTTTTAATTCCTATTTGCTGTGAGTGGTTACTTTTAGAGAGGTGGGCTTCCTTGATTGATAACTAAGATTGACAGGCCTTGGTGATTCATCATTTGCTTTCCACACATATTCGTTCCCAGAATTCAGTCTGTTATAATGATATTAATGAACTTCTGGGCATATGCATCATGTTATAATAATGGTATAATGAGGCTCAGGTGAGGTGAAGGTCTTTGGGGTCTTTAAGCAGGAGGGAGTGGCTGACTTAAACTGGTACCTAACCCTCTGCTTACTTGTTTCTTTGTGGAAGTTACTTTTAGCCTAAAAATGCCTTCTGGCTTGCTTACGTGTGGGAGGATTAGGACAGACCCCTTCTAGGATAGGAAGACCTCAGTATCTTTGCAGGCAGACCTGAAAGCCCCTAACTTTTCCTGCCTAACTCTTTTCTAAGAGTCACGAACCCCCTTATTATTAGTATGGATGTTGAGGGATGAGAGATCTCTTCTTTTGTCTTGATTCCT